GCGAAAGACAAATCAAAGCTAACAGTCGTTATAATTTGAATTGTCCAACCAATCCCCGACACGGCCATACTGACTTTCACACGTCCTCGTGTGTTTCCAAATTTAAAACATTACAAAATATTATCTCCCAATAATAAATAGAACTAGATGTACTTTGAAGATAATGCAAAATAACTATATTTTCATTAATCAGAAGCCTTATGAGCTATTAGTCTATGAACAGCAAATTAAACTTAACATTTTTCCTTAATAACATTATTCTTTTAAATTCAAAAGTTATACAGAATTCTTAGTTCTTAATTAGCAGATCGAACTTACATTTCCTCATACTTAAACAAAGGACAATACTTTTTTTTTTTATTTTAAGCCTTTAGATCCGGATTACCATCAATTCAAACAATATTAATTTTCCATTTTCATTTGCTTTTCCAATAAGCAATCACATTTTCACATCGAATCACTATCTCTAACAACTTTCATTTTACTTAACAATTTAAGTCTTTCTCGACCAACCGGCCATCACATAGCACACAGTTGTCATTTACATTTTCTTATTTCATAAATCATCGCAGCCATCACCGGCTCGATCAACATCATCTTCATCCATGACCGTCTCGTCATGCTCTGTGGTAATCCCCTTCTCAGGCATTCTTCGTAAAAATTCGTGGGAATATTTGTAAGTTCGATTGCCCTTTAACGCTTTTAATTTATATCGATCACCTGGTAATAGCTCAGCAACTAAAAATGGGCCTTTAAACTTGGGGTCTAGTTTTGTCTGATGTCGCTCCTCATTCTTGAGTAAGACATGATCGCCAACTTTATGCTTAACAATAGTGGCTTTATTCCGATCGAATCTCAATTTGTCATATTTGGAATTTTGTTCCATATTGTGCTTAGCTATATTTCTGATTAGATTTACATCAGCTACACTCTCGTTTTCAGCAACGGGTACAAGACCAAATGGTCTAGCTTCTTTTCCAATTAGTAACTCTATTGGACTAACTTTCGTTACCCTATTGGGAGTGCAATTAAGAGCCAGTTGAATTTCGTACAAAGCGTCCTGCCAAGATCCCTTGCCTGTTTCAACCGCAGTTAGCATAGATTTAAGAGTACTCATCACTCGTTCGACCTGGCCATTGGCCCGGCTGGCGCCAGTTGCGATCAAATGTAAATCTATCTTTTGTGCTGAGCAAAAGTCACGAAACACAGTACTGGCAAAGCTACGTCCCTGATCAGCTATCAAACGGGAAGGAACCCCAAAAATCGATATTAAAGACCTCACTGACTTGATGCAGCTTTCAGAGTCTAGTCTAGTGGTGTGAAACAAATGGACGAACTTAGAAAATGCATCTATTTGGACGATTATATATTCCTTTTGGTCATTTTTACCACTAAGCTTCCCTGTGATATCAATAGAACTGTATGAAACGGGGCGCTCACTTTCGGAATGGGATGCAATTCAGCTTGTACCTTGCCAGTCGGAGGTTTAGATAACCTACAGGTAATGCAATTGTCAACGAATTTACGGACATACTTGGACATTTTGTCAAACCAATAATACTCGTACATTTTTGCGAGGGTCTTTTCCCAACCGAGATGCATAATTGCCTCGTGCACGTTGTTAACAGCAGACCACCTAAAGGGCTTTGGAATATTAGGAAGACAGTGAGTTTTCCCATGTCTTTAAATTTTCCTATATAGAGTACCACCACGTAACTCAAAGGTTTTTGCTATATCCTCAGGAAGTTCTCCATTGCGCAACTTGGACACGATGGATGATGTTTCGTCATCTCTCTGCTGCTCTGCCAGCAACCAGTTGTCGGTAATCTCTGTCAACTTTATACGCTTTTCGGTTATACCTTTTAAATTTTTACGATCTTCCAACACTGGGTTTCGAGAGAGAAAGTCTACATGAGCCATTCGATCACCTGGTCTATACTCAATATCGAACATAAAAACCTGCATATACGACCACCACCTTTGCACTCTAGGAGTTAACTCGGCTTTAGTTTTGGAAGCTTTGAGCGAATTACAATCCGTAAATATCGTAAATTGACGACCATGCAAGTAATGACGGAAATACTTCATAGAGACATATACTGCGAGCGTTTCCAACTCGTATGAGTGGTAGCGTGATTCGGCGGGGGAAGTCCGTTTGCAGAAATACTCGATCACTCGAGGCTTGTTCTCGATCCTATGCAATAAAATGGCCCCGTAACCATCAGCACTGGCGTCGGTGTGAAGCTCAATCGGAAAAAGTTGGTCGAATATAGTGAGTACGGGTTTATTGGTCAAGATAGAAATTACTCTTTGTCGCACTTGCTCATGCTCCGGGTTCCACTCAAACGATATGCTTTTGGAAGTTAATGCACACAGAGGTTTCAACAATTGTGAGAACTGAGGGACAAATTGTCTAAAATAAGAAACAAGACCAATGAACTGTCTCAGCTGGGTCACAGACTGTGGGTGCGGCAGATCAGTCAATGCTTTTATTTTCCTTGGATTGGGTAGCTAGTTGGCTATGTCGCGGTTGCACACCAGACGAACGACACTCCGCCTTCTTGTGACCCTCTTTTCCGCATTTGTGACATCTGATATTGGAGAAGGGTCTTGTTTTCTTATTAGTCAGGGCCGACAAGACGTCACCAGTACCGCGGCTCAGTCCAGCATCAAAAGAAAAGGCTTTCAACTCCTGTTGCAACTCGTTCCGAGAATTGACTTCTGTAGTAAAAGCCAAGCGTCGCAGTCGCTTGTCCAATCCAGCCACGTGCGCCAAAGCAACAGAAATGGGAATTTGCTCTACCGTCAGGGACTTCCACCTGGACATCAGGGATGTTACAATTCTGCTTCCATACAGCGACATAGATTCTCCCTCTGTTGGGCGACCATTCAGCAGATTTAACACAGTTGCAGCCAAGGTCTCCGTTCCGGCGAAATACTGCAAAAACAGTTCTCTGAACTGCGTCCATGTGATCCCAGGGTAGACCGTTTGTGCAAGCCAATGAGACGCGCTTCCCTGCAAAGACCGACTGAGAGCCATCACGAGAGCGCTGCCTTCTAGACTGTTTTCGGAAAGAATGTAATCCACCGATGCACTCCATGATACTGCATCCGCGCTTGTACGATCAGGATTAATGTTCGGCAATATAATGGCAACTGCGACATTCGGGGCTCGCTGTACTGCTTTTATGAGTTCCGAGAAAGTACGATTTTGTGTTTCCAAAAGCAGTTTCAGATTATTTTCACTTTCGATTTGAGGCCTGGGCAATCCCACTTCTGATGTCGAGGATTCACTGGAATCGTCCTCCGCTTCAGGCTGCTCTTCGTGGTCCGAACGGAAACGTTTTCTGGCGCGTGGCATGATCTTTGCAGTTTGGCTCTTCAAATACGAATGTTCTCTAAAACTGCTTGCGTCCCTTTTTGCAAGCGTCGCTCCGAGGGTTATGACAGATGGTGTAAAGGCACGTCCGTCGGCTGGGTGCATATGGTTTATGACCCGTTATCACATGCAGATGTGCACAGACCAGGATATCAGCTACATATTTATTTAGGTCAAAGTAGCTATCAGCAACGAACGAATTTCTGCTAAGTCGAAATCGTACAGGTGAGTTCCCACCTAGTCACGCTCTTGAAACCCTAAAACCATCTCAAAAGGTAACACTTCTTTCTCTCAACTTTTTATTTCTAATGACAGGTTTTTCTCAGTTACATTGATTTTATTTTAGATTAATTATTATTATTATTAATTCTCTCGACATACACAAAATAAGCATTATGATTTCTATTTATTAAATAAAATATTTTTTAAAAAAGTGTCTCAAAAGTGAATTGATAACCATTTTATAACTGTCGAAATAACGATGAGAATTACATGTACACATTCATTTGACACAATTTTTTGTAAATGTAAATTTTAATGTTCTGGGAACATTAACGAGCTTTAGGCAGAGTTTTAAAATATATGCTAAGACCATGATTTACATTTCACCACAATTGCTTTAGATATTATGTAGTCGAAAGCAATCGGGAAAGAAAGTGCAAAAATTTTCTTTGTCAAACAACACCCTGTTAGTGAAATTGTCTGCTGGTAAATGAAGGACAGGGGACAGATTGGTAGTTCGGATCAAACTCCAATAGCTCCAGGGGAGCTCATTCTGCAAGAACCCCAATACTCAGCACATCGTCAGTACAGCCAGATTAATAGCTGAATATTATGCAAAGCAGGCACATTAAGTTGAATGGCTCAAAGGACGGATGCCGAGGAGTTTCTTTAAGCTCGACAAAATTTAAATGAATATCGTCAACTATACGATTACTTGCATTTTTTTTTTGTCAGCAAGGCAAGCGAATGATACTCAAGGTTTGATGCTTGTCATCAGTTCAAGTGGATCGATTTTTTCAGAGACAATTAAAACACTATTTTTTAGCATTATACATGAAATTCCGCAATTTACCCGAAACCCCTTCAAATGTTGGTGATTGTTTCAAGAAGACAAGGACGTCTAGGGTTTAGGGTGGTATTTAAAATGGTATTAATTGACCTATTTAAGACAGAACTGGCATTTCCCAGGTTATTTACTTTTAGTGGGACTAGAGTTTTTAGCATTTCCCGAATTTATTTCTCCCTAATTTCTTGTAAGCTGATTCTGATGCCAAAGATCTAGTTATTTGCAAAATATAAAATGTAATGATAATATATGAAATTTACTAATTATTAACGAAATAATAGTGAAAAAGCAGTATGTCAATAATGAAGCCCTCTCTAAACCAACTATGAATTTTGAAACTAACACAGAACAAAGTCGATTTACGATATTTTTCTGATGTTATTAATGTGTAATTTTATTTTATAATAATAGTGATTAACAGTTAACATAAGAATTTGATTGATTGATTTAAAATTATTTGCAAGAGGTTAGAAATCAATCCCTTTCCCTTTATACCCAATAATTGATTATATTATTGCATGCAATAGTTTAAAGGGGAAATTCCCTTTATATTTATATATTTATAGATTTCGTAAAAAGCAGTTCGACCAAAAAAGCGAACATAGCCATAACGCAACCCAATATCCAAACAAGTATGAATCCAGCAAAGTTGGACATTCCAAGCATGACAGGACCAATATCTTCTTTACTTTTGGACATAGTTTCTTCAACTTGTTGTTGTATCTTTAGGTTTAAGTTATCGGCTATTACTCGGTATTCCCAGTATTTATCGAAACCAGACGAATGCCAGCTGTAGATCAGCGTATTAAATTGTTGGAGAAGAGGCCACAGTCTGGGAACAAAAGCGACCGTGTATTGGAAATATAGATCATCCTGCATGATTACTAACTGATCAATAGCTTGAGGTACCAAATAGTTCCCGATGGCAAAGTGACCTACATGACAAAGAAAATAAGTGAATGCTTTTTCTGGGAACCCATTTTTTATTTGTTACCAAAGGGCAGACGCTCAACTGTAAATCCAATGCGAACGCGCTGCTCCTGGGCTAATTGTAGTAATCGGTCGTCCCCATATATGTGAAAATTGTATAACAAGTCCTGAACCAATGGCTTATAAAGACAATAAAATATCTTAATATCGTCTCATTAAGTATGCATACACTTACCTCATCGGACTCGCGGATAGCTGAGACCCAAGCCTCAGAGTTTGCTGCCCATTGTAATCGGTGCGAGTGCAAACGTTGTACTGTGTCGGCCGCCTCGTCTAGACTGGGAATTGTCAATATACTGGCAAGGCCACCGCTATATATGCTGGTTATGATTAAGTCGTTAAGAAAGCAGGCGAAAAGAAGGACACGAACTGTAAGTGAATTAGCTTTGCTGCTTCCTGATTGAGAAATGAAAAGCTTGAATGTCGTAGACAATCCGACCTTTGTACAAATCCACCAGCTGTCTCTGTCTCTTGGCGCTGCGTATAGTTCCTGTTCACTTTTAAGGGCTAAAACCAATCCTACGGCTTCAATCCATAAACATACCAGGACTGCAGCCCATAGAGCTTCTTGGAAAGGCTCCAGAGGAAGGTACCAGCTGGCTAGTCGCGAAGGTGCTGGAACAAGACATGTTATTCCAGATCGCACAAGATACATGGAAAGATCTAAATATGTGTAGTCCTCGAACCACGAATACATTGCTCCAATGCAGATATCCGCTTTATGATTGATAACCATACCCAGGGCACCATCTCCTGACATATTTGGATAAATATTGCCCCAATCGTCTGCGTCAGCTAAGAATATAACATAAGAGGACATTAATATTACCAACAGTTTAATTTATAAAACAAAAACTTTAATACATAAATTCATGAATATGTTTTGCGAAAAACCCATAGTCAGCGTTTTGCCGAATGGTTGCGGCCAAAATGCTTACACGTACTCAGCAACTCCGGGCCACTGAAAGAGGCTTTAAATTTCCCTCCTTACGTTAAAACTATGGTCATAAGGAAGTTTGATCTGTAGGAGAAGGGTGAGATAAACTATCTAGTTGCATCTTCGGAGCCTACCTCTCTGTCTGGGAGCAAAGCAAAACTGTTAAAGCAGTGCTAAGCAGACCAAATAATATTTTACATAAATGTTTGTGGCCATGTAGAGACAGGACCTGCAATTACAGCTAAGCTGAAGAGGAACTGAACTAATAGATCTATTTCTGGTCGTCGACTGTGATATGATGGTTGTTAAAGGACTCACTACTAAATTCGAATAACCCGTCTAATGCGCAACCCAACAAGTCGCAGAACCTGAAAGCTCCCTAGGTTAATTTTTTTTATTTTAATTTATCTATATTTTGTACATTTATTTTTTACTTAGTAGTAATGTATAATGTATAGGTTACGCTTTTTATACTGTTACTCGTAGATTAAAAGGATACATTGTATTCGTTGGAAAGTAACAGGTAGAAGGAAGCGTTTCCGACCCTATAAAGCACACGATTAAAGCCAAGATGAACTTATTTGTCAATAATCTTCCCACAAAATTGGTCGCGACAAAACTTAAGCAAACTATTATACAAGGACTAAAGCATACAAAATAAAACAACTGTTAAATTGCACAACAACGTATTAATGTAGAGCTGCAAAGTATTTGGTTGAAATAAGCTGTGGCCTCAAATATTGTTAATTTTTCGTTGTTAATTAAAAAAGGAATATTTAAAAAAAAACAAAATACATCGAATATATAAATGACAACTTTAAACATCAAACAAATAACGTGCGCTTCAAATATGATTAAAACTTAATTGGTTTAGCCTTACAGGCTGTTAAATTTGAGAATTGTTCTTGGTTGAATTAAGCTGTGAGCCACAGTTTATGTAATCTAAGTAATTGGCTGAATATATAAAAACCGGGCTAAAAACAATTATTCGAGCCATATCTAATTATAGGATAATTAATTCTAAAAATAGCTGAGTATTCTGTTTTACTATTGTATTATAATTTTGCATATATTTATGGTGCCCTTTGTTTTTCTAACCTTAAACAAAAACCAAAATGTAAGATGAATCCGTATTATTCTTAATGACAACTTCAAGATCCTTCTACATGACCGAATTCCAGTTCCGGTATTTAAAAAACATTTTTTTTTTTTTTTTTTTTTTTTTTTTTTTTTTTTTTTTTTTTTATTCTTTTTTCTTTTGGCTGGGCTCTTCTCATTTTTAAAAGACTAACCTAACAAGACTACCAAATTTTCAAATTCTATGTTACTTTAACTTATGTTATTGAAAAAGGGATGGGAAATCATTCCGCTGTAGACGGGAATGATAGCTTAGCCGGTTGAGTTGTCTGGCAAGCAGGTTTGGGTGATTTGATAATCTGGCTTCATATTTAATTTTTCTGGAAACAATTTCTTCTTTTACGGGATTTATATCCAGGTCTCTCTGGATGTTTGCATTGCGGATTTACCAGGGGGCTCCAGTTATTGTTCGTAGGGTCTTTGATTGTACTCTTTGAATAATTTCTATATTGCTGCTGCTTGCGTTTCCCTTAGCTCGGAACCGTAGGTCCAGATCGGCTTTAAGCACGAGTTATACAGTAGTACTTTATATTCGAGTGGAAGGGGGGAGCGGTAGTTCATGAGCCAGTGAAGGCTGCTGGCCTTTAGTTTTAAATGGGTCTTCTTTGCTTCTATATGCTTTCTCCAGGTAAGCCTCCTGTCTAGGTGTATGCCGAGATAGGTGACTTCGTCTGCTTGTGGAACCGGCTTGTTGTTTAGCGTCAGTGGTGGGCATTTCGACAAGTTTAGTGTAAATGTAATGTGCTTACACTTTTGCTCATTGACTTTGATACGCCAGTCTGCGAGCCATTTTTCTTTTAAATGGGCTGTAGCTGTTTTTGGGCATTTCGAGCGGCTGACAATGGCAGTGTCGTCAGCAAAGGTTGAGATGAGGGTTTGGCGGCTTGTTGGAATGTCTGCCGTGTAAAGGATGTACAAGATTGGTCCAAGCACACTTCCTTGGGGTACTCCAGCTTCGATGTTACGGATGGTTGAAGTAAAGGTTTTACATCTCACGGTGAAAACTCTGTTTCTGAGGTATGACTCAAGCAACTTGTGAGTGTTTTCCGGTAGGAGGGTTTTGATTTTGTATACCAGACCGTCGATCCAGACGCGATCAAATGCCTGTGATACGTCCAGAAATAAGGCACTGCAATGTTGCTTGTGTTCGAAAGCCGTGCGAATTTCAGATGTTAAGCGGTTTACCTGTTCGATAGTTCCATGCTTTTCCCTAAATCCGAATTGGTGCAGAGGGATCGTTCTGTTGTTTTGAAGATGTGTTACTAGATGAACAAGAAGCAGTTTTTCAAATAGCTTTGATAGACATGGGAGCAGACTGATGGGCCGGTACGAGGAAGGCTGGGATTTGTCTTTTCCTGGCTTCGGGATCATTGTAATGACAGACTTTTTCCATTGGTCAGGAAAGTAGCCCCATTTCAATATTGAGTTAAATATAAATGCGATGCATCTGACTGCGCATGCAGGTAATTCAATTATCATTTTTGGAGAAATAAAATCGTGACCAGGAGCCTTTTTTGGGTTTATGTGTTCTTTAATAGCCTTAAGTATTGTGCTGGTTTCACGGGTAACTGGGGAGGACGGCGACGATAGCGAGACATTCGGTAGAGTGAATTGGTTGGATGGCGGGTGGGGCTTGAAGACGTTTTCCAAGTGATGGGCAAAGGTGTTAGCTCTTTCTTCGTCACTGCGCGCCCAGGCACCTGTTTGTGATCGAATTGGCCAATCGGGATCTATTGGTGGCTGCATGTTTGGGTGCGCTCTCCATAGTGGGAATTTATTACCCGTCGGGGATAGTTTCGCAATGTAGGCCCGTTGGGCCTGGTTCTTTTCGGTAGAGAGGGCCTTCGACAATTTTCGAGATGCTTCATTAAGTCTTTTCTTAGTAGCTGGGGACCGATGAGTCTGCCAGTCTCTGCGAAGTCTACGTTTTTCAAGTAGGAGAGACTCGATCTGGATACTTGAGCGTCCAGTTCTTAGCGGGTTTGTGGATGAGGGTTCTGGCGTAGAATGTTTGGCGGCAGAGGACATTACGTCCGTGAGGTTTTTAAGCGACTTGTCAATGTCAGATTCAGAGGAAATTTCAGGATCAAGTTCGATGTGTGCACTTACATATTTTTTGTACTTCAGCCAGTTTGTTTTGTTTGATGTTAGATGTTGGGGGCGTTCCAGAAGCTGCGGCTGTTCAGATAGACAGAGGAGAACTGGCGAATGGTCCGATGTAAGCTCTTCTAAGGTTTTTATGTTTATCAGCCTGTGCGAGACTCTTCTAATAACAGCGAAATCGATAATGTCAGGTTGTTTATTTGGATCTGTGGGCCAGTATGTAGGCCTAGCTGGTGAGACAAAGTCAAGCGCATTACCAGGAGTGATAATAGCCTTTTGGGTTGATAAGACGAGATCCCCAGTGGGGATGGTTTGCGTTATAATCACCGGCAGCTATAAAGCAGCGTCCTAGTGAGTTGTAGAAATTCATAAACTCATTTTCTGCAATACTGAAGCGTGGGGGGCAATATATGGCGGATAGGGTAAGTGGGCCGCCAATTAGGTTTATACGTAGGGATGTGGCCTGCAGGTAGTTAGTAGCGAATGTCTCCAAGGGATGATGTTTTATGCGTTGTTTTATGAGTATACCGGTACCTCCGAGTGCTTTACCGTCCGGGTGGTTGGTCGCGTGGAATATATATCCGATGATATGGAAGTAGTTTTTATTAGTTAGATGGGTTTCAGAAAGTAGCATGATATCGATATTGTGGCTGTTTAGGAACTGTAGGAGTTCGTTTTTGTGCCGGGAAACGCCGTTTGCGTTCCAGAAGCATATTCTTAAGGAGTCCATTTATACAGACTTTTGTTTGATCAGCAGTTCCATTAGAAGGCTCTGGTTTCGCAGTAGTTCTTGAAGGGAACTTTGAATCATCATCATGACGTTTGCAAGAGTAGCTAGTGTAGATTCTAGACCGCTAAGTGTTTGTGGGGGAAGAGTTTGGTTTTGCTGCGTAAAAGGTTGACTTGTTGTTTGGCCATTTTGGCTTAAGAGCGGAAAATCATTTAGGTTTGATATGGGTGGCTGTGGACGCAATGCTGCAGGTTGGGCGGTAGATGTTTGTGAGATTCCAGGGTAGCGGAGTGCGTTGGCAAGGAGACACCAGGAGTGGTTGTTGATGGGGTGAAGATGTTTGGTTGGGCAGAGTGTTGAGCCGCGAGAGAGTCTTGAGTCAACTTTTGATGACCCTTTATTGCGACCGTTAACCACGGAACAGCGTAAACAACTGACAGACACCGTAGCTTTATTTCCTTCGTTTGCCGAAAATGGATTAGGGCGTACATCTGTTCTTTCGCATAGCATCGATGTTGCAGACGGGAAACCGATTAAGCAGAGACATTATCCAGTTTCTCCTGCTATAGAAAGGATGATGTACGAAGAACTAGACCGTATGTTGTCGCTGGGAGTGATTGAGGAATCAAATAGTGCGTGGTCTTCTCCTATGGTTCTTGTACGTAAGCCAGGAAAAGTCCGCCTTTGCTTAGACAGTAGAAAGGTGAACGCAGTAACAGTAAAGGACGCCTATCCAATGCCTTTTATCGACGGAATTCTAAGTCGTTTGCCAAAGGCTGAATTCATTTCAAGTTTAGACTTGAAGGATGCCTTCTGGCAAATTCCACTTGACCCCAAGTCCAGGGACAAAACTGCGTTTACTGTACCCGGTCGACCCCTTTATCAATA